ATGGTGTAGCCCTTTGGAGTAACAGCTTTGTGTAGGTGTTTCCTTTTGAGAGACTTTAAAGTCTATCTCCTGAGTTTTGCTTGTGTAGACATCAGAAGGTAAGCTGAATTTTGCCAATGCTAGGCACTCTCAGGATGAAATCTGGTTCCTGGGATTTCTTATTCTACTTCAGTTTGTATAGCTTATGTGGATACTGTATTTACTTGCTGTCTAAGCAGGTCTTCCCATTACAGATTAAAAGTTGGATCTAGTAGTATTAAGGTATCTAGTCTGTCATACTGCTTGAGATCAGTGTTCCCTTCTCTCCATACTTCAGTTTTTGCAAATTGGTTACTAGTTTGTGCCTCAGCTCTCTTATATTTGTTATTATAATAAACTTTTTCTTTAACTCTTTGGTCTAACATGTCTGGTGTAGGTCCATCACAATCTGCACTTAGTTATGTTTTCTGTTCTTGTTTCCTGCTGTTCTTTCACTAGCTATATCCTGGTTTCTTAAAGACATGTGTTGTAGCCACCATTTGTTTAATCATGTCATTCTATCCTGTTTAAATTCTGTCTCTTCTTTTGCTCAACTACGCCTTCTAGCAGTGTTGACATTTTGGGCTAAGCAATAAATCTTTGTTGGGGGGCTATTCTGTGCATTGTAAGATGTTAGTAGTAAGATGTAAGATGTTAGTGGGTAAGAAGTTAGTAACCCACTAGACATACATAGTACCTTCCATTTGTGACACCAGATACCCTTGCCAAATACCCTTTTGGGTGGAGGGGGCAAAATCTTCCACGGTTGAAAACCGCTGTTCTAGTGCTATGTAAATTTGGTCTCAGTTGAAGATCTTGTCTGATTATCTCTGATCGTGGCTTTTATCTTCTGGGTTTTCGGTACACATTTCCTGGCTTGTACACTTGCCACCTATTACTTTTGGTTGTGCATTTCTTTTCTCTCCCTCTCTGTTGTGTTTGTGTGTGTGCCTGCTTTTCCCGAGGTCTACATGTATTTTATATTTTTGTTTGCTATTTTGGTCAATCCTATATACTTATTAGTAGTTCTAAATTCACAATTTGTTTGCTTTTTTCATATTTTCCCATTTTTTATATGGTAGCAATGGAGGTTTGGAAAATTGAATCATTCTAGAAAATGTGGAGAACTTTGAGGCATTCTAAGTTCTAATATTCTATTAATGATAATTATGAGACTTGCAGACAATAGAATTAATACTGATGTAATGGTAGTATGTATACCCAATAATAACTGGAAAATTCAAGACAGCAGAAGATAGTTGTAAGAAAATGTAATTTCCATTAGATGTATCTATTATACTTTATAAGTAAGGAGAAAAAATATGCAGTAGAATAGAAATTAAAAAAATAAACTGAGAAATACAGAAAACTGAAGGATTTGTAGAAGCATGAAGTAGGAATGATTAGTTCTACAGAGTGAGATGAGCAAAGTCATCAATATGTTGAAGTAAATTGTTAGGAATGACAGATGTAGCATCTGGTTAGGAGTGACTTGTGTAAAGCTGACAAACGTGATATGTGAATGTTAGTAAGTTGAAAATAAGTTGGGCATAGAGAAGTTAGCTTCTCACTACCAACTAAAGAGAAACATGTATTTTTTTGTACCAGTTGGGAAGGATACAGCTCAATTATAGATTCTTCTCCACCTTTAAAAAAATTATCAGCAAAGTCCATTAATAAAATAATGTGAAACTTGAATCTAACTACTTTTTATAAGGTGGTTTTCCTCATCTAGACCAAATTTTCATGGAAAATAATCATAAGCATAATATGTGTTCATTGTAGGAAAATTAGAAAGTAATGAAAAATATGGGGAAAGTGAAAGGTAGTTACAGATCCCAAAGCCTAAATCACTATTTTCATTTAGGTTAATACTTATTTTCTTAATTTTTATATGGTCTACGTCTCCCTCTCTAGATATAGAAATATGATATGTGTATATATGTGTTTGTATGTATACAGTTATATAAAATGGGTTATTTTATATGAAATGGTTTATAGCCTGTCCTTTTTCATTTAATAGTATGAACATTTCTCCATATGTATGTGTTTTATATATGTTTACATAAAATGGGTTATTTTATATGAAATGTTTTTTTTTATTTTTAAGAGTTTATTTATTCTTTTTTTAGAGAGAGGGGAAGAGAGGGAGCAAGAGAGGGAGAGAAGCATCAATGTGTGGTTGCCTTTCATGCGTGCCCAGTTGGACACGTGGCCCGCAACCCAGGCATTTGTCCTGACTGGGAATTGAACTGGCGACTCTCTGGTTCACAGGCCGACATTCAGTCCACTGAACCACACCAGCCACGGCTATATGAAATGTTTTATAGCCTGTTCTTTTTCATTTAGCTTTATTAATATTTTTTATCAGTAAAATTCTTGAAAGTGATATTAAGTGATTACACAGTATTCTATTCTGATTATCTCCAAATTTATTTAAGCATTCACCTCTTGTAAAACATTTAGGTTTTCTTTCATATATGTGTGTACACAAATAAAAACACACCCATCTATGTGCATATACATATCATTTACAGTGAAGCACTCTAATAAAAACCTTGACTATATCTCCCATTTCCTCTGAAGAATTGTAACGTCTGCTGCAGCCTGGCTCTTACATTTTGTTCTGCAAAATTCATTCTACGTGTCTTCCTTAGTAAAAACAGCTCAAATTTTATACCTGGCTATTATCGCCAGTGTTGGACACTACATTTCCTGTCCTTCCAAGTGGTTAGGTGTGGCCAAAACACTAAGTTATGGTCTATAAGCTGTAAGCTGAAATGTGAGCATTAGAAGGGAGCAGGGTGGGCCTTTCTTTCCCTTTCTTTTTGCTGCCTGCAATGTGGATGTGTTAGCTGGAGTTCCCATAGCCTTCTTGGAGTATTAACTGACTTTGAATAGAACAGTATGTGGCACAGCAAAAGGATGGAAGGAACTTGGGGCCCTGATATTGGAGCTTCCATATCAGCCTTTTGATTGTCTACTTCTGGACATTTTCGTGGCAGAAATTCTCTCCTTTTGTTTCTTCCTCTCCTATTTAAGTTATTATACTATTGTTATTTAAATTTTCTTTTTTGGCTGGGGAAGAATATGACCTAATCCTGCCTGATTATCGTTATTTAATGCTCTGTGTGGTAGTGTGATTGGCCAAGTATAAAGAAACATGCATTGTGTCATGGTAGATTCTAGATCCAGGTTGAAACCAAATCTACTTTGAAACTAGAGAGAGATTAATTGGTATTGAAAAGAAAGCACTTAAAATGATATATAATTCTGGGGCTCTTTGACAATTATATTGTTGTATTTTTCTCAAATGCTTTTACTATCACAAATATTCTTTCAGAAAACACTTCATAGCTTTTAGGTGACCTTCCTCAACCCCAAGTTTCACAAACCATTGAAGATTATATATTGTGTTATGTTAGAATAATCCCTTCAAGCCCTATTAAATATCTTGGCTAGTTACTTTGACAAGGTTAACTCATAGATGTGACTTTTAATGCTCTCATTTTAACTTTATTGGAAGAATTTTGATAAATGAAATGAAAAAACATTTTTTATAACTGTAGATTTGCATTTTAGTATTGATTCTAAGAAAATTATAACAAAAAAGTAAAGGACATTATTTTTTAAAAAATAAACTTTTTTGAGCAATTTTAGGTGTATAGAATAAATGAGCAGAAAGTACATAGAGTTTCCATATACCCATTTTTCCAAGGGTACACATTTTCATCTAGGGTATTCCACTGCATATAGTATTATACATATTAAAGAAACTTGACACCCCTGAACCAAATCTATATATCATTGTAAAATAGGAAATCCATACACTACACAATCATCAATCATTTTATTCTAATCCAGGGTTTTCCATCCTCAACACTATTAATGTTTTACGCCAAATAGTTCTTTGTTGTTGAGGGTCTGTCTTGTGCATTGAAGATGCTTCCATCCTTGATCTCTGCCCACTAGGTGCAGATAATATTCCCCAGTTGTGACAACCGTGTCTCCAGATATTGCCAAATATCCCTGGGTTTGGGAAGTGGGGGTGGGCAAATTGCCCCCAGTTGAGAACCATTGCTGTAATCAATTTATGATGCCCTAGAGTTTGCTGTATTTTTCAGATTGGGCTCAAATATAAGGGATCTGTAGTTGAACAAACCGTCACTGGAAATTGGTATAGGTAAAGTTAGACCCTTCCCTGCCACTGTGGATCTTAGGCAATATGCATACTCTTACTGAGCCTCAGTTTTGACTGTAAAAAACAACCTTTCAAGTTAGGTAATATTTTACCTAACCAAGAATTCATTCAAGAACCAAGAATTCAAGTTAGGTAATATTTTACCTAACCAAGAATTCATTGAGCTAAATTATCTAAAATACTTCTGATTGATTTTAGTGTCCTCTTCAAATGTGCTATATTGTTTGGATTTATTCTCTTAAATGTGTCAGAAACTCTACAAAGTTTTTATTTCTATGGGGAAACTATCATAGTTTGGGATCTAATGGTTATGGATTTCCAGAGTATTATACTATGGATGGTTAAAAACTTTAAATAAATATTCAATGAATACTGATTTATGAGGTCAGTTGTGTTTTGACTCTTTGTGGTGCTCTAATTATATTGTCACTACATTCAAATTGTAATTGTTAAGTGATTTCATGTGTTCTTTCAAGGACTTTGAGCCTCTCAAATTGAGGATAGCATTAGATGTCAGCCAGTCACTTTGTCCTTCGAAGTTTTTGTCTTCACGTCTGAAATCCTGCCAGTTTTAACAGCTTGTGTGTCAGCTGCAGTAGTGGAAGCTGGCCTCTGTCAGCTTGTACTTAGTCCATTAAAGACTTACAAAAACTTGACATAGTTCTCAACTAATAATGTCCACATCCCATTACTACTTTGTTGAATTACAAAACATTGCACTCTAGTGAATGAAATGCCATCTGTAATAATTAAGGTTATTCTTACTGTTCTACCCCTGCAGAAAATTTTTAAAGACTTGGTGAAGGAGGACTTTGTGAATGGAGAAGACTTTCTGATAGGAAGATGATCAATGGCTGGCTGTAGCACTATTATATTGTAAGTACTGCTTTGATAAAGAGGTGTTAAGTTGAGAATGAGTGTTCAATTTTGTGGGGGAATACGTTAGGCAATGATATTATAAGTAAAATATAGAGAAGAATATATCATAATCGTGTTAATAATTTATAAGAAGTGATCCTATGCAGTCTTGTAAAAACTGAAAATATGTTCTCATGTATTAAGGTGAAGATTTTACCAATAGCATTGAAAAATATATCTAATTCTAACAAGGGTTGATCTAGTTATGCACATTTGCTTATTTAAAACTATCAGAATCCAGAAAATCATTGGAGCTTTGTAGGCTTGTGATTTGTTTGGGTGACTTATTGTTTAGGTTATTTTGCAGAATTATTTATTTGCTGATTTATTTATGTATTTCATTATTTATTTATTTGATTATTTAGTAAATTATTTATCTGATGAATTATTAATACATCTTCATGACATGCTTTAAATTATTTATAACTTAATTTTGAGTTTATTGCTTTTAGACGCCGCATTGTTACTGACTAGTTTAGATTTTTTTCTTTGTGGTTCTTTAAAATTAAAGTATTTGCTCTAAGGCAGAAGTATATTCATTGCAATGCCCATGATTTTTTTAAAAAGTAATTTATGGTAGAGATAAAATTTTAGTTAAGCTTTGTTTAGCTCCAAATTTACCTGTTTAGGGTTATAAGTGATAAGTATGTGTGTTGTGTGTATATTCATTCTAGAGTCACTTACAAATTGATAATACAGCCTATCGTCTGTCAACTGAGATTGAGCATCTAAACCTCAGTCCACATTATCCTTTGTATCTCTAAAGGATAGGTCTGTATTTCTTACTTGCTTTAGAATAAATAATGGAGTCCTAGTTACTTTATTTTAGTGGCAAATCTGTTTTACTCCTGGAATATTTTTAGGAAAGTTCAGAGAAATGAAGTCTGACTTAGATTTGGGTCCCTGCGATATAAATTTGACTGATGTCACCTTTGTTTTTTAAATCCCCATTATATGTGATTTGGCAAACAGCATGATGTTTATATAGATTTTTATATCAGTCATAGTGACATATTTATTTCATAGCCTATTTCTTATAGAAAGTTTCATAACACTTTATTTTAATGAACTAAAATGGACAGAGGTCTTTATAAATGCAAGCTATTGTTTCTCTTACTTTAGCTAATAATTCCCTTAAATAAAGTTTTTGTTTTTAACCAAATAAGGTATATCTTCTATTTATGACTCTATTTTTTACGATAGTACAGTATTCAGGCTTCCTTGTTGACTTAATGAATGGGTTAAAGTATTTGTTCAGGTAAAAGAGTGTCATGTGCACAACATGGTCTTTTGTGTTGGCTTGTAGTGAATTACTGTGTACTTTATAGTTTTAGCATTTTAGAGATATGTAGCATTGTGTGTTTCTTGTTAGAATGCTGTTGCAATATAGTGAAAATGTCTGTACACAGGTTTCACTATAGAAATGTAAATTACACATATTTATGTCCAAATTTCTTATTTCAAAATTATTGAATATACAAATGTTTAATTAAAATATTACTTTGATATCTTCATATACTCACCATAAAGGAAAGTGGTTTCTTTTAATTTGTACACATGGGTTTAAAAATGTGTGTAATTGTACATATCATTGACTTTTCTGTTCTGGAGATGAACAACTACAGATATTGTTAGATATGGAATTTTATTTTAAAATGTGTTTAAGTATGCTGATATAGACTTCTTTGGAAGAAAAAAACTTCCTTTTCCAATGTTGACTAAGATCTACGTTAGTTGTCATGAAAATATATCCAGCCCGCAGTATTAACAAGTCTTTGTGAACAATTACCTGTGTCATCTGGGAAGATACACATATGTGTGCACATACATATGCACATACTTTTGAAATTTTCCCCGTACATCAAAGTAAATTTTTAGGACTTGTTTTTGAAAAGAGACATTAATGGAGATTATTGTAATAATAGCTAACGTTTATTGAGCCCTTACTATGTGCAAGCACAGTGCTCATATCTTTTAATGGACTGTTACTCTTCACAGTGAGGTAAGTACAGTTATTATCTTCATTTTATAAGTGAGGAAACAAAGACTTAGAGATGCTTGCCACACAGGACAGTAAGTGATGGTGCTGGGATTAGGATTCATTTAGTTTGACGCTCAATGGTCTTTCATAGCCCATGACAGTTTTGTGTGTGTAGTTGGTGTAATGTAGTTTTCACCAGTTATTTTATTTATTTATTTTTTAAAGTTATTTATCTCTGATAGGCTTAATTTGCTAACCATCTTCACTTTGGATAACACTTGGTCGTCTTTTTTAAACAGTAGGCAGTACCTGAGCTTCTCGAATTTTCTTATTTTATTCTTCTTGTAATCCTTTGTATAGTGGACCAGATCTTTCCAACCCTGTTTACTACCTGCAGGTAAAGGGAAACAAACCTTCATCCTGGGTCTGGAACACACAGAAAACATCAGAAAACTGTTGAGTTAGAGTTAGACAGCAAGAGAGTCTGGGTGATGTTGCATGAGTTCGTAAGTAACTGCATCTGAATGAATGGTAGGGCACTGTGTGAATCAAAGTTTTAAGTTAGATTTTTCAAATGAATAATTAATGTTATATTAGAAAATCCTCAAAACCCGTGATTTAGGCAATATGAAATACTGTAATAGCTAGGATAAACGTAATTTGCCGTCGAATTCAGGGCAATTTGGAGAGTGAAAGAGTGTATTGTAATATGCCAGGGCAATAGTTATAAACTGGGATCTTAGCAAAATTGGGAGCTGTATACACCCTAGTAATAGTACAAATGCCTATTGAATAATTTTAATAGTCTTATATAATGTATGTTTAAGAGGAATCTTAATTCACATGAAGTATCTTTAAAAATATATTGTTTTATGATAAAACTAACTTCCATTATGACCACTATTTATGCATTTTTGATAGCCTATCGAGGCAGTTTGTGGCTATGACTATTATAAAGCATGACTGATGTTTTACAGATTTTGAAACCTATTTTCAAGGTGAAAATAGAGAGGTATTACTACTGGGAAGAAAAAGATAGGTATTATAAAGTTGGTTATAATATAGTAGATAATTCTAAAGTTTTTCTTTATCACACAAAGGATTTTTTATGCTTGTCTTGCCTTGTAAATATTCTAGTTGATGGTATATTTGACATTGCGCTGAAAACAAATCCTATTTGTTATACCTTAGGAATTTATAATTTTATGTTGGATGAGCCAGTGGTCTTTTTTTTTCCCTTAAAAAACCACGTTACATGTTATATATATTGATAGGTAGACAGCTTTGCCAAAACATTTTTGAAAACAACTGTTTTTCCTTGGTGAATTTCTGTATGCAAAAATAAGGATATCTAAAAAGTTTATTAAAGGTTTATTTTGTGTGTGTAGTTTTCTTTTTAATTTCCTCTTGACATGTATTTATCTAACATGGCATATTACATTATTAAAGTTGTAATTAGATTATTAAATTAAGTTTCTAGTTAATTTGCATTTATGTTATAGCTGATTTGTTAAGTTGAACTAGGTAACCATGCTGGCGTATTTGTATTTGAATGTACATTAAAAAGAAAAATTCTCATGCAATCATTCTTAGTCATTCATATGCATAATATCTGAACTCTTTTTGTTCAGAAAGGCCTATTATGCTTAGTAACAAAAGTAAGAGTTTTCATATATTCTGCCTGGAGTTTTTTGTGGTAGAAGCACTTCATGAAATACCTCTATAGTTGTAAGACTAATAACATAGCTTATGTGTTGGCTCTGAGAGTACCTCCTTTATTATTATGACAAGTAAAAGTACAGCCAAAGGTCATGTTAAACACAAGATTTCTTCCATAACTCATCTATTTTGTGGATAGCATGTGAAGTAGTTTGGGTCCCTGTATTGATATTTTAAGAGGACAACCCAAAAGGTTGTTCCCATGGAAGTGTTTCAAATATCTTTCTATCTATCTCCCATGTGGTTGCAATATTTGGCATGAATGTGTATTTGAATTCTGGACCAGTTAAATAGAACCTTAATAAATTTAGAGTTTGCACAATAAAAAGGGACTTTTATACTGCTGGGATTTTGTAGGGCACTAGAAAATAATACTGACATGTAAAGGTCTTTAGTAATATTGAGTACTATACTGACTAACTGCAGTGTCTGAGTTTTGACCCACCTTAGTATTGATATTGCTCACTCAAACAGTAGATATCAAGTAACATACCAACAGAATATATCATTCAGAAAATGAAATCACACAAGTTAAATTATATAAGCAAAGCATGCCTAGATAGATAGATAGATAGATAGATAGATAAGATCATATTTTTGACTTTGGTAAGTAAAATTTAGAATATTGAAAAGATCATATATAGGAACGTTTTCTGTTAAAAACCACATACTGTATAAAGAGAATATACGTGAGTTCCAGAGTGGTTATCAAATCCCTTTAAGTCGTCCTCAGTATACAATACCAAAAAATATAGACTGAAGTAAGGATATTTGGAAGAGGATAAAATTGGCAAGTTACAGTTTTTTGTATAATTGCCAAAGCATTTTTTGTTTTAAATTTTTTGTATTGCTTTTACATTATTGCATGCTTCTTGCAATAAGACTCCTTATTTCATTGATATTATATATATATATATATATAAATTAACTACATATGAAGTATGCATAAAAGGGAATTGAAAGATGAGATTTTATTTTGTCCTTCGTCTCTGAAGTAGAGTAAGTGTAGCTTTTCACTTAAAATTTGAAAAATAACTGAAACTAATCAGCCAGGCTTTTTTCTGGGGGGGTGGATTTTGAAGTTGATAACTGATACATAATCATTATCAAGCATTTTGAATTGTTGCTCTTATCTTAATTATTCTCTTTACAGAAACTATACTGTTACATATTGTTATTGGTTTCTTAAGTAAATCCTAATTATAAAATAATCCAGTTAAACCATGTTGTGAGTCAAAATGTGTGCGTGTGTGCATTT